TTTATTTAATTTTTTGCTTGATTCTGGGTTTTGGTTGAATTAATAATGAAAGGGTATTTTAGGAATAAAGATGGGTGGAAAAATAGGATTATATTTTTTCAAATTTACATGGAGGGTGGGAAGATAAGGTGGGTGGGAAAATAGGATAAGGGGGTGGAAATAGCAGCACTCTTTTATAATGAGGTTATGCAATTAAAGTTTCAGTTTTCCCATTGTGATTATGTTATTGTAATTTTTTTTCCTAACATGTTGTATATTGCTATTAGACCTGAATAACCATGAATAACCCATAGTTGGTAAGAGTAGTGGAGAGTTTACTCAAATCTTTCGGAGGACCGATTACAATAGTCTTTTGAGACATGCTTGACTAATATATCATACTCCTTTATTTTTTCTATGGGTTGGTCATGTTTGATATAAACTTATTTCGGCCATTATGGTTAATTATCTTCATTGGTGCATAATTGATTTATTCATGGTCATATCCAAGGTTTAAAATATTGATGGTTTTAAAAATATCGGTAGTCCAAAAATACAGAAATTTCGATGGAAATATTATGATATTATCAATATCGATAAAATTGAATGAAAACCATGAAAGAAGATTAAACATACCATAATCATTTATTTATAATGATTTACTACAATATTTTACACTTTATATATTGCATAATAAGATACATGAGTGACTTAGTACCACATAGAGTTGCTGTAAGGTTCAAATTTGGGTTATTTACACTAACACCTCATGAGGTTTTCAGCTTTTTCACAAAACTCCTTGAGGTTTTAGAAATTACAAGAACACCCCTTGAGGTTTTAAACCTCCTTTTTATTGATTTTTCATCCAAAGATTGATGATTTTATATAAAAAAAATCTCCAAATGACAAAGTTGGCCTTTGAGATTAGATTGCATGTACTTCATTAAGGTTAATTTTGTCATTTGCATAAGTCAATGAAATCATTAATTTTTGGACAAACAATCAACAAAAAAGGGTTTTGTGAAAACAAACTGAAACCTTAGGAGGTGTTCGTGTAATTTTTGAGACTTGAAGGGATTTTGTGAAAACACAAGAAACCTCAGGGGTGTTAGTGTAAGTAAATCTTCAAATTTTTCGTTGTCTTCATCATCTCGATATTATTGATATTATCGATATTATAACGATATTTTGGCCAAATGTTGCTGAAGTGTAAGAGAAATTATTGACGTCGATCTTTTCCGATATTATTGATACTTATAAGATATGTGTATGGATATGTTCCAAAATATATACCTGAAAAAATGATAATATCCTCAATATTTCGTCGATATTATCGATATTTTAGTCTTTGGTTATATCTAATGATGTTTGTCTTAGTGAGAGAATGTAAGAACTTTTAGGCTGTCAATACTTTCTTAACTTTTTATTGAAGTTTGAAAGAAAAATGATATCAGTTTCAGGACCCAAAAATTAGAAAAAATGAAATGAAATAAGGCCCGTTCGTTTACATTTTCAAGGGCCATTTTCTGTTTTTGTTTTCTGTTTCCACTTAAAAACGTGTTCGGTTACTTGTTTTGAGAAACAAGCTTAAATCGTTTTCCTTAATTGTGTACAAAATTGAAAACGATAAAATATCATTCTCGGCGTTTTCTGAAAACAAATGCAATCCAAATCCATCTGCTCTTTCCCTCTCACCTCTCGCCTCTTTCTCTTTCCCTAAAGTAAAACCCACACACGCCACCACATCCCTCCTCCTCCTCCTCCTCCTCCTCCTCCTCCTCCTCTCTCTCTCTCTCTCTCTCTCTCTCTCTCTCTCTCCTCTCTCTCTCTCTCTCTCTCTCTCTCCTAGTAATCTTCTTCACCAATCCATCATACAGAAACACCAAAAACTTTAACATCATCATACATTCACAGGAAATCCCATAAGAGTGCACATCATTGAATATGCTCATGGGTTATGGCCACTTCCTCGTATTCGATGGATTGGTGAAGAAGATTACTAGGAGAGAGAGAGAGAGAGAGAGAGAGAGAGAGAGGGACTGCCGTGGATTTGGGGTGGGGATGGGTTGAGGGATAATCTGTATTTATTTTGAAAATAATAATTTGGATGGATAAATAATTATTCTTAGATGCATATACTTGTTCAGTTTATTAATTAACCAACAAAATTCAACATTTTTATTTATCATTTTCACTTATTATTAAAGATAATTCTAGGTTTTTTCACATTAGAATTTTCTTATTGTTTTAGTTATTTTTTTTAACCCACGTAGCAAAAATACACTTGAAAAATAGCTCAAATATTATTATTCTCAAATTATACTATCCGATACGTTTTCACTGTTTTTATTTTCTGAATATGTTTTCCAATTAATCTATCATATGCATTCTCGAATCTTGAAAATACAAATTCATTTTCTCGTTTTCATTCTTTGAAAATATTCTCAGAAAACATTCTCCAAAATCATGAAAGTGTTGCCACAAGATGCATGTGGTGGCAACCCCATGTTACCCAAAACATTGCTGCTGCTGGCACTAACAACAGGCATGTTCTGACTTCGCTTCCCCTTTTCTTCGCTAAAATAATTATACCAAGACTCTGTAGGGTTTCCGTTCATCAGGGGACAGTGGTGTTTTCTGCATCCCCATCCTCATTAGGAGAAAAAGCACCTAACGGAAGATTTGTTTCATGCCTGAGGTACTCGATCCGTTTCCAGATCTCTTTCATCTTTTCCTCCAAAAACAAAACCAAACCAGTTAGTTCACTAGCTCCAAATTCATTCAATGGCTTACCTTCTTGAATTTGGGACATGATGATGTTCATCTCCATCTCTTTGCTCTTTCTATGAGTTTTGTTAGTTGTTCTCTCAATTTAGCTAATCTATCCTTAAGGTATGTCTCTTGGTTCATCATCTTCATGCACCGATCTACTTCTGGTATCCTCTGAAACCTTGCGAGCAATTCTTCCGCAATTGGGTTTGAAGGCCACACAACTGGCTTCTTGCCGTCTGGGCCATAAATAATGGCAAAGCCACCCACGTCACATAAGATGCCCAACTCACTCAATTTTTTCAACTAGCCTTTCTTCCTTTTTCTAAAATTGGTTTTCCTAGCACTATCATTCGTTATCCATGCTAGTTTGGCCTTCTTCCTAGTCATGGTTGATATGTATTCTATTGATGAGATTTCTTTGTGCCCACACTAAG